TCCAGTGACCTGCTTCCTGACCATTGTCAATGAAAATACATATATTCAACCCTCTGAACCTCCTGATTAATTGTTGAAATAGTCAACTACAGAGATTTTTTTCAACAAGAAAGTAAGTCCGATGCTCTCTGCAGTGGAAAATGTAATTAACTGTCAGTCTATTTTTCCCCTTCTCCATCTCATCTGAAGCACATAGGGGCCCATTGCCTCTATTCAGTGTGCAGCCCGCTAGCCAGTTAGGAAAATATGGTGGCTAAAAACACTGTTCCTTTCAGTCCAAGTCCCATGGCTAAAAGCCCACTCCTTGGACTGGGCAGAAAGGAGACCTTGTTTCTGAGTATCATTGATTCTTCTTCAGAATATGATTAAGTGCAAAATGCCTCTTTGATTCTTTACCACAGGTTAATAGGAGATATTTCCTTGGCAGAACCTCCTGGGTTGTCTTCTTATGAGTAAATTCTGTGATGTTGAAACTCGAGGGAATTCTCGGAGAAACGAGATGTATATGACATTAGGAGAAGGATGCGTTGCTAATAAGAAGCCCAGGATACTAAGAAAATCGAGATATGTTTCCAGCTGAGTCAGGGGAGGAAGAAGGATACAAGTTTCTGTGATGCTTCTTTGTGGTTAAGTAGGGCTGACTACTGGCAAGCTCATAAAGCTACTCACAAGCCCTGTTGAATCTTCCTAGCCTCAGCAGTGAGGTTCAGTTAATATTTATACAGGGAAGAGAAGCAGTATAGTCATGTTACAGAGTGAACCAGTGTCTGAGTCAGAAATAGAACTCCTTGATCCCAATGCTGTGGCAAGTCCCAGCACCACACCCTCACTGCAAGACAGCAAAGGTGTTGTGTGTTCTACCAAGGGAGAGCTATGAATAGGCCCATAGTGGCAATTTCTTCATACTTCCTCTTCAAGATTGAGAAGAGAGTGTAGTACCTTCTTGTTTTGTGCTTCTTTCTCTGTCACACAATTTGATTACTAAAAGCAACCGAACAGAAGTGACAGGCTTTTTCAGACTGCCACTATGGTTATAGTGTATACAATCTGTTTCATTTGAGTAGATTCTGACATATAGCGACCCCATAGGACAGTATAGAACTGTCCCATAGGTTTCCAAAGCTGTAAATCTGTAAGCAAGCAAACTGCCACACATCTTTCTTCCAGGGAGCATCTAGTGGGTTCAAACCACCAACCTCTTGGTTAGCAGCTGAGCACTTAACATCTGGGCCATAATGTATAATTGAGGACATAAACCTGAGTGACAATTTTAAAAAATAAACTTATTTTATTTTTAATTGTACAATTGCTAACACAGTCAGTTTCCCAACATTCCTTTCCTTCCTGCACTCCTTGACAGCATCTCCCCTTTACGCTCCACCATCATTGTGCCCCCGCCTCAACCCTGAACCCCTTATTTTACTTGCTGTCCTTATAGCATCATCAATCTTGGGTTTCATAGACGGAAAAACATACAACACAACTTCAAGAGGGTGACCCCCAGTGACATAACCCATCTGAGATACACCAACTATGAACCAACAAAAAATGAAACCAAAAGAAAATGTTGCATGACAATTGGGGGTGGTGGTGGCACCAAGCTCCCCTATTTTAAATACATGATTTTGAGAAGTGTAAAATAATGCATATCCCGTGATTTCGAGGCATAATGTGTAAGGAGGGAGGGTTATCAGAGTGAACTCTAGGCAGAGATGAAAGGGATTTCATTATTGGAAATACTTTTTGATGAAGTCAGATGTAAGCAGAAAATAGTGAAATAAACCTGACGTTAATGTTAGGGGTCTTATACGTTCATAATTTCTTTAGATTGTGTTACTGTGTTAGGGGGCATTTCTTTAGCTTTTTTTCAATAATGAACATTTTCTTTTGTATTGTGTATGATTGTCTTAGGGTAAATAAGACCTGATTTAATGGGTGTTTAAAAAATAGTATATAAAGTGGTTTTGATAGGTGAGACATTTGATATTCTTTTTTTCCCTGTCACCTCTTTGATGAAACACATAAACTGCAAACACTTTGGTGTACAGCTGCCAAAGTGATGTCTGAACACCACTGACTGAGATTTACCATACTCAGTCGATCGATGTCAGTGCCTTTAGAAACAATGATAACATTTTATTCTTTTGTATGAGAAACACGAAAAGAATGGGATGAAGATAGGTAAAAGGGATGAAATTAGTGGAGTTGAGGTTAACTGGAAATACCTCCCAAGGCCCTGAATGCAGATTAGATTGCAACACAGACTTCTAGCTAGCAAGACTCTTTTTCCTTATCTCCCCTTCTCTTTTTTGCAACCTTCCAGTTTTTCTTTTTTGGCTACATCTTTCCAGTCTCGTCTCATACTCTCTCTCTCTGTCCATATTTTATTTATCCTGTTTCCGTTGTTCCCCCTCCTCCTGCGCCTTATTTGGTCGCGATTACTAATTATAGATGATGAGCCAGGTCTGTGATATGAAGTGCCTAAGGAAGACTATCTTGGCACAGAATTAGGCACTCCCTGACAATATATTGAAGGTAAATTCAGAGTTAACAAGTCTCTAATTTTAACTTGAAAACCTTATATATTCACAACAACACTTGGCTTTGCACCCCATATTGTCCAAGTCCTATCCTCCACTAGGCTCTGTGTGTTTGAATTTTTCGCCAAGCTAAGTAGTTTTCTCTGAAGTTAAATACAGGCCTCTGAATCTCTGACAGGTTGCCCCCTCTATTTCTCCTCTCTTACATACAAAAGTTTTTTGATCTGTCTCCTGCGAGTTGGAAGGAAAGAGTGATACAAAGAGGAACCACTTCAGAGAACTATCTTTTATATTTCAAAATATAATCATGTGATAAGCCATTACTGGATATATGAGAAGACAAAGACCACTTTTATCCCATAATCTCTTTATTTAAAAGAATCCATTCAGCAGCTAGTTCAAAGTGTATGAATCAAACCAAATCCATGGCCATGAAATCGATTTCGACTCATAGCAACCCGATAGAATAGGCAGAACTGCCCCTTCTTCTGCATAGTGGCTATTGGTTTGAAATTGCTGCCCTTTTGGTTAGCAGTTGAACTTTTAAATTGCTGCATTATCATGGCTCTTTATAAAATAAGACCTCATTGCTATCGAGTGGATTTTGACTCATACTGACCCTATAGGGCAGGGTAGAACTGCCCTGTGGGTTTCTAAGATAATAAGTCTTAAAAAAAATCGTTTTATTAGGGGCTCATGCAACTCTTATCACAATCCATACATACATCAATTGTGTAAAGCACATTTGTGCATTCAATGCCCTCATCATTCTCAAAACATTTGCTCTCCACTTAAGCCTCTGGCATCAGGTCCTCATTTTCCCCCTCCCTCCCCTCTCCCCCCTCTCTCATCAGCCCTTGATAATTTATAGATTATTATTTTGTCATATCTTGCCCTGCCCGACATCTCCCTTCACCCACTTTTCGGTTGTCCGTCCCCCGGGGAGGATGTCACATGTAGATCATTGTAATTGGTTTCCCCTTTCCAACCCACCCTCACTCTATGCTCCCAGTATCGCCACTCACACCACTGGTCCTGAAGGGATGATAATAAGTCTTTACTGAAGTAGAAAGCCTCATCTTTCTCATGCAGAGCAGCTGGTCATTTTGAACTGCTGACCTTGCAGCTAATAGCCCAACACGTAACCCACTGCACTACCAGCTCTTTGATGGCTCCTTGTAGAGCATATGAAACAAACAGTCCCTGTCCAGTGACAGCTGTTGACCTAGAGAATATTGATAAGATTTCTCCATGCACTTGTAAAACTGTAAGCTCAGATCCCCAACAAAGATAATTAAGGCAACGACTGCCCAAATGATGACAGGCAGAGGTCAGTTCAGAACTGCACAGTGGGGGCCAAAGGTGGCTGCTTCCATCTCATATCTCACTTTTATTTGGCTGTAAAAGGCTTCATTGACCAGGACTATTTTAGGAGCTGAGGACATGCAAGTAACTGATAAAATAGGCAGTGGAAGAGGTAGAAGGAAATAGAAAGGGGACCATGATCTACAGAAGGGAAACATTAAGGTTATATGAATTATTTCTCTAGAAACTTTCATTGAGAGAGCCCTGTGTTCTGAATTTGTTTTTTAGAAGAAAAAAGGTGAAGCAACTTCAGGAATTTAGTCAGAACTTATTTTTTTAATTTATTTTGTATCATGTAGCAATGATCCTATATCTATTTGTCATCTTGCATCATAAGATTCGCACTAGGGCAGTGCAGTTCACTAATATTAGGGAGCAGACAGTACACTTTAGATCTGATTCTGGCACTGACAATACCACTTCTATCCTCTTCGGATTCTTCTATTCTATAATTCAAACTTCCATAAGCCTTCATTTCTGTTACTAAAAACGGTTATAATTCCTGTCTTGTCTACCATATGAGGTTCATGGGGGGATCAAATAAAGCACTGCTTTTGAAAGGATTTAGAAAGTTGAAAAACACTGTACAAATTCTAAGGTATTAGTGTGATCCCTGGCGGTGTAGTGGTTGTGCATTGGGCTGAGATTTTCATGGTCGAACATTCAAAATCACCAGCAGCTCTGTGGGGCGAAAGACTGGGCTTTCTGCTCCTGTAAACAGTGACAGTCTCAGAAACCCACACGAGACCCCAGTGAGTCAGCATTAACTCTACAGCAGTAAGAGAGAGTGTTGTTCTTAGACTATTCCGGCTTGTTTTTTATTTTTTTCTTTCTTGGAATTATATGTAGCCAACACTTCATTTCTTCTCCTTGAAATGCGACGGTATTGCACGACTATACCCAATGTGGTCATCTGTGCTTCTGCAACACATTATCATCATATCTTTTAACATATGATAGGTGCTTTAAAAACCTTGTCAAGTCAAATTAAATGCATGTTGTCTCCCAATCAGGGCGAACAGAGTATCTTTTTATTCCTTAAAAATTATGCATGGAAGGCATATTTGATTATTGGTTCCCTCTTTTCTCCCATAGGAAGAACACATTTCTTACCAGTCCCTAGTCTCAGAGTGGTGAACTCCTGCAACCAGCAGGCCTCCTGCAAAATCCATGGGTGACAGAAGATTCATTGACTTCGAATTCCAAGATTTAAATTCAAGCCTCAGACCCAGGTTGGGCAATGCTACTGCCAATAATACTTGCATTGTTGATGATTCCTTCAAGTATAATCTGAATGGTGCTGTCTACAGTGTTGTATTCATCCTGGGTCTAATAACGAACAGTGCCTCCCTGTTTGTTTTCTGTTTTCGCATGAAAATGAGGAGTGAGACCGCCATTTTCATCACCAATCTGGCCCTCTCTGATTTGCTCTTTGTCTGCACCCTGCCTTTCAAAATATTTTATAACTTCAATCGTCACTGGCCTTTTGGCGACACCCTCTGCAAGATCTCTGGGACTGCATTCCTTACCAACATTTATGGGAGTATGCTTTTCCTCACCTGTATCAGTGTGGATCGTTTCCTGGCCATTGTTTATCCCTTCCGATCTCGTACCATTAGGACCAGGAGGAATTCAGCCATTGTGTGTGCTGGGGTTTGGATCCTAGTCCTCAGTGGTGGTATTTCAGCCTCTTTGTTCTCCACCACTAATGTCAACAATGCAACCACTACCTGCTTTGAGGGCTTCTCCAAACGTGTATGGAAGACCTATTTGTCCAAGATCACCATATTTATTGAAGTTGTTGGGTTCATAATTCCTCTAATATTAAATATATCTTGCTCTTCTGTGGTGTTGAGAACCCTCCGAAAACCTGCTACACTGTCTCAAATTGGGACCAACAAGAAAAAAGTATTGAAGATGATCACAGTGCATATGGCAGTGTTTGTGGTATGCTTTGTGCCCTACAATTCTGTCCTTTTTCTGTATGCCCTAGTGCGCTCCCAAGCCGTTACCAATTGCTTGTTGGAAAGATTTGCAAAGATCATGTACCCAATCACATTGTGCCTTGCCACTCTTAACTGTTGTTTTGACCCTTTCATCTATTACTTCACCCTCGAGTCCTTTCAGAAGTCCTTCTACATCAATGCTCATATCAGGATGGAGTCCTTATTTAAGACTGACACACCACTGACCCCCAAACCTTCCATTCCAGCCATTCAAGAGGAAGGTAGTGATCAAACTATGAATAACGGTGGTGAATTAATGCTAGAATCCACTTTCTAGGTACGGGAACTGTCACTGAGTCAAGATAATGTTTTTTCGCTATGATATGAATATGGAAAAGATTTGAAGATAATGAGAATGAGAATAGGATAATGTACTAAATATAGTCAGATACTTCTGTTTGAACAATTATTGTACATGTTCTGTTTTGTTCAATAATTATAGGCCAAGTCTAATTACAGCAATCAAAAAGGATTGCCACACTCTTCTGCTGGAATGACATTTCATCGTATGACATTATGTAAGTTGTCAGTGGCCTTGACTTTAGGGATATGAATATTATTTAAAAACCTTTAAAAGGATATTTTCATTTCAATGATATTTAGTAATTGGATTGGGCCTATAAATATAGAGCAAATTCAGGTGTTTTTTGTTTAACTTTGTGTTACTACTGATGTATCCTACTCCTTTTCTTTTGTGAATTGTCATTGAGTTTGTTTTATCACAATGGCTTATTTTAGTCTAACATTATTAACAAGAAATGTATCAAATTCAAAAAGCTGACAAAATGTATTTTATGTACTTTGAAATCAGAAAAAGAAAGTCTTTGTATGAATAAATAAGAGAAGAAATAGAGAATTAACAGGATTTACATATTTGCAGTCACTAGCAGTCTTAGTTTTCTAGAACTTTTCTTCCTTTTTCTATGCTGCATATTGATTTTCATATAGAAATTTGAAGCCAAAAAGCTGGTAAATGTGCCCAAGATGGGCACAAAATGTAAAACCACATAAAAGACAAGTTAATAAAAGCACTAAACACCAGCTTTATATGGAAAGAGATCACAGATAAGCAAAGCACTACTAAAGAAGAATATAGAAGGAGGCCACTCCCTTCCTGTTCTCAAAACCTACTACATAGCTATGGTAGTCAAAGAAGCCTGGGACTGGTACAACTCTAGATAGACAGACCGATGGAATAGAATTTAGAACCCAGAAGTAAATCCCTTCACCTATGGACAACTACTCTTTGACAAAGGGATGGGTCACATGAAATGGGGAATAGATTGTCTCTCAACAAATGGTGCTGAAATGCTATTTGCAGAAGAATGAAACAGGACCCATATCTCAGACTTTTTAAAAAAGAACTCAAGATGAATCAAACACCTAAATGTACCACCTAGAACTATAAAATTCATCAATGAAAAAATAGGGGCAAACTTAGGGTCACTAATGCATAGCATCAATACACTATCACACATAACTGAAAACACACAAACAGCAGAAGACAAACTAGATGACAGAACCTCCTAAAAATTAGGCACTTGTGTACATCAAAATATTTCACCAATGGAGTAATATCAGACAAGGGATGACATTTAATATTCAAAGAAAATTTCAACACCTAAATAGCAGAAAGACAAATACAGAACGCGAACAGATACTTCACCGACAAAGACATTCCGGTGTCCAACAAGCACATGAAGAAATCCTCGTTATCATTAGCCACTAGTGATACAGATAAAAACAACAATGAGATATCATCTCACCTCAGCATTAATAGCAAAGTTCAGAGCAAACAAGTAACACAAACAGAAAACAACAAGTACTAGTGTGGTGTGGAGAGTTTGGAACCGTCATACACTACTGGTAGCATTGTACAACGGTGCTACCATGTGAGAAATGGCATGGCATGTTCTTAAAAACTTGAAAGTAGCAATACCATATGATATAGCAATTCCACTTGAAAAATAAGAGCCGTGACACAGATATATGCACATCCATGTTCATTGAAGCATTATTAAAATAGCAGAAACACAGAAACAGCCTACTTGCACTACAATAGATGGATTAAAAAAACCCAACAAAGTATGGTATGTAGACTCAATGGAATACTACAAAATGTTAAAGAATAACAGTGAATCTGTGAAACACCTTACAAGATGGATGAACCTAAAGGATATTAGATGGAGTTAAGTAAGTCAGTCATGAAAGAACTTATCTTTTATGAGACCACTAGTATAAAACTCAAGAAAGGTTTTCTTTGATGGTTACAAGATATAGGATGACACGGGAGGATAAACACATATTAATTTAGGGGAAGGGGAATGTAATATATAATAATTTGGAGATCAAAAAATTATAAAGGTAAAGGTGTACACTGGGATGAGTGCAAGAAATTAAAGGCAGCAGAAGTAAATGCTGTTATATACACAATCCTGTAATAACAATAATATGAGTGGATAATCCATACATACTCATGTTAAATGGGTATAGGGGAGAGGATAGAGTATATATATGTATACATACAGGTTTGACATTGGAGATTTCTACATGTGTTGTTGCTAGGTGCCATCGAGTCAGTTCGGACCCATAGTGACCTTATGCACAACAGAATGAAACATTGCCTGGTCCTGAGCCATCCTCACAATTGTTCCTATACTTGAGTGTTTTGTTGATACCACCGTGTCAATCCATCTCTTGGTCACTGTCCTACTTTACCAAGCATGATGCCTTTCTCTACGGACTGACCTCTCTTGACACCATGTCAAAGTAGGTAAGATGAAGTCTTGCCATACTTGTCTCTAAGGAGCAGTCAGGCCTTACTTCTTCCAAGGCAGATTGGCCTGTCCTTTTAGCAGTCCATTGGACTTTCAATATTCTTCTCCAGCACCACAATTCGAATTCATTGATTCTTCTTCAGTCTTCCTTATTCAATGCCCATCTTTTATATGCATTTAAGGCAATTGAAAGAACAATGGCTTGAGCCAAGTAAACCTTAGTCCTCAAAGTAACATCTTTGCTTTTCAATACTCCGAAGAAGTCTTGTGCTGCAGATTTACCTAATGCAATGTGTCTTTCAGTCTCTTGACTACTGCTTCCATGAGTATTGATTATGAAGGCAAGAGAGACAAACTGTTTCACAACTTCAACATTGTCTCCATTTATCATGATGTTACTTGTTGGTCCACTTGTGAGGATTTTGGTCTTCTTTACATTGAGTTGTAATCTATGCTGAAGTCTGCAATCCTTGATCTTCATCTCCAAGTGATTCAATTCTTCTGCACTTTCAGCAAGCAAGGTTGTGTTGTTAATGGACCTTCCTCCAATCCTGATGGCACGTTCTTCTTCATATAATCTAGCTTCTCTGATTGTTTGCTCAGTATACAGACTCAATAAGTATGATGAGAGAATACAACACTGATACACACCTTTCTTGACTTTAAACCTTGTTATGTTTGCACAACTGCCTCTTGATCTATGTACAAGTTCCACATAAGCACCATCAAATGTTCTGGAACCCCCATTCTTCTCAAAATTATCCACAGTTTGTTATGAGCAGTCAAATGCCTTGACATAGTCAATAAAACAAAAGGATGCATTTTTCTGGTATTCTCTGCTTTGAGCCAAGATCCATCTGGCATCAGCAACGATATCCTTTGCTACACATCCTCTTCTGAATCTGGCCTGAACCCCTTGCAGCTCCTTGTCAATGTACTACTATAACTTGTCAATGTACTGCTACAACTGTGCTTCATCAGATTGTTTAAACATTTCAATTGGTATTCCATCAATTCCTAGAGCCCTGTTTTTATCTATTAGTTTTAGTGAATCTTGAGCTTCTTCCTTCAGTACCATTAGTTTTTGCTCACATGGTACCTTCTGAAATGTTTGAAGGTTAACTAGTTTTTTGTGGTACAGTGTCTGAGTTTTCTTTCCATCTTCTTTTGATGCTTCCTGCATTGCTCAATATTTTGCCCATAGAATTGTTCAATATTGCAACTTGGGACTTGAATTTTTTTGAGTTCTTTCAATATAATGTATGCTGACTGTGTTCTTCCTTTTTTTGTTTTCCATCTCTATATCTTTGCATATTCATAATTGTGTTTAACTTTATTTTCTGGAGCCGCCCTATGAAATTTTCTATTCAGCTCTTTGACTTCTTCATTTCTTCCATATGCTTTAGCTACTTTATGATGAAGATCAAGTTTCAGAGTCTCTTCTGACATCCACTTTGATCTTTTCTTTCATCTCCATCTTTTTAATTATTTTTGTTTTCTTCATGAATGATGTTATTGATGTCCTCCCACAGCTCACCAGGTTTTCTGTCATTAGTGTTCAGTACAGCAAATCTGTTCTTGAGATGTTCTCAAAATTCAAGTGGGCTACCCAAGATTGTATTTTGGCTGTAGTAGTCTGGTTTATTTCTTCACCTTCAACCTGAACTTGCATATGAGCAATTGATGGTCTTTTCCACATCTTACGTCTGGTTTTAGTTGCTGATATTGACTTTCTCCATCTTATCTTCCCACTGATGTCGTCAATTTTATTTCTGTGTATTTATTTCTGGTAAAGTCCAAATGTATAGTTGCCTTTTGTGCTTTTGAAAAAGGGTATACAGAAGTCATTGGTCTTGAACAGTTCTGTCATGCGATCTCCACCTTTTTCTTCTATCACCACGGCCATATTTTTCAACTATTGTTCCTTCCTTTTTGTTTCCAACTTTTGCATTCCAATTGACAATAATTATGCATCTGGATTGCATGTTTGATCAATTTACACCTGAAGACCTTGGTAGAATTTTTCAATTTTTTCATCACTAGTTTTTGTGATTTGGTGCATGCATTTGAATAATAATTGTATTGCTTGGATTTCCTTGAAGGCGGATAAATATAATTCTATCACAGACAGTATTGCATTTCAAGATTGATTTTGCCATGTTCTTTTTGACAATGAATGCAATACCGCTCTTCTAGATCAGCGGTTCTCAACCTGTGGGTCGTGACCCCTTTGGGGGTTGAACGACCCTTTCACAGGGGTCGCCCAATCCATAACAGTAGCAAAATGACAGTTATGAAGTAGCAACAAAAATAATTTTATGGTTGGACGGGTCGCCACAACATGAGGAACTGTATTAAAGTGTTGCGGCATTAGGAAGGTGGAGAACCACTGCTCTAGATCATGTCTTTCCTGGCACAATAAAGCATGTGATTTTCTGATCCAAATGATCCATACCAGTCCATTTTAGCTCTCAAGTGTGATCTTGATGTGTTATTTTTCATTGTTGAGTACTTTTTATTTTCAGAGAATCATATTTCACACATCCCAAGGTCCTATTACTATCAGCTTTTTGCAGCTGTTTCTTCTTATCTTCAGTGGTGCCTCATCAGCAGATGAAGGTCTTGAAGGCTCCACTGCCACACGTTTTTGCACTACTCAAGTCACCATGGTCGACTCTGCTCCGAGAAAGCAGCTCCTTCTCAGTCAAAGTTCGAGTGCCTTCAGACTTGAGGGGCGCATCCTCAAGCAGTGTGTTCTGCTTCCATGCATTAGACCTTCAAGATCTGACAGTGTTTTGAGCTATGGATAATGTTTGCAGAGGCTGCTTCCTCTGAAGTGGGTAGCAGAGTCCTTCTTTATTGCCTTTTGTTAGTCTGGAAGCTCCACTGAAACCTTTTCATTTCGGATGACCCTGCTGGCATTGGAAATACATAGCTGCCAGCATCACAAGAACACTCAAGCCACCACAGTACGACAAACTGACCACATGTGATGGGCTTCAAAAAGCTTGTAGAAAATTTGCATTACAGGAAAATGGAATTTCTCCAAAAATATTTTCAATTGCCTTCCTATGCATTTACCTGTGCTGCAGATATATTAATGAATATAGTAGAGTATGCAAGGGGCCAAGTTAAAAAAAATCTGTAACCATAGCCAAACACCTTGAGGATATTAGTCTCTGGACCTGGGGGTTCATGATCAGAGTCTCAATAGCCATAACACGGTCCATATATATAATGTTTTAAATTCTCCTTTAATGAGTAGGATTTGAAAAGCTTGTGAGTGAACATTTAAGGTGCAACTATTGGTCTTTCATTGCCCAGAGGAGAGAAGCAGGAAGAAAATAGAAGTTGCAGGGAAACAATTAGTCCAGTGTACTAATGGACCATATGAATATCAGTCTCCACCA